GGATCATTCCCTTTGTCGAGTAGCGCCTTGGATGGATTCTTCAGCATCTCCAGTTGTCCTCTACTGACACGGGTCGCTACACGCCAAACCCTCGCAGATCCTCTTCTGCCGACACTTTCCAACCCCAGAAACTACACCGGGTAATCTCCGAGGGATGAATTTATCGAAGTCTGGAACAAATAGGATGACAACGTAGTTTGACCGGTATACTTTTTGTGAAGTGTACCGGTCATATTTTGGCCGATGATATATCGTTTTGCTGACGATTTAAGTCTCCCTCCCAAAACTTTCGAGATTGACCGGTCAAAGATTCGGCCTTCTCCTTTGACCGGTCTTGGGTGAAATACACCCATCAATAAGCCCTCAACTTCTCGGTCATGCAATATGTCATGAGTGGGAAGTAGAAAGTCTGAAACAAGACTCTTAAATTCAAATTTCTAATTTTTCCCGCTCGAATATTTCAAATTCAAAATTTGAACTGTTGGTTTTGACACGTGTTTGGCGCTGGCCATTGCAGCAGTCGCGTCCCATCCCCTTCCCCATGCGCCATCATTGCGCCGCCTGACGCGGCGTGTTCTCGCGTGGCCACGTCGCTCCCTTTGGCCTCCTCTCCTCCTATATAAAGGCCTCCAACCCCCTTCACTTCTCACTTCTCGCACTTCGCCTCCTAGAGCTTTCACCGGTCAAGTCCCTTATCTTTCGCTATCCAGCCCTCCGAGTCAAGTAAGTTCCCCCTTCCTTCTCTTTTTTCTTTCCCGGCCATGTCTTCGTCTAGCGATAGGATCTCGTCCTCAGAGGACTGCTCCTCTAAGGATTCCAACTCATCTTCCTCGACCGGGTCTTCTTCTCCTGAATCTACGCCCGGTCAGGTTCCCAACTCCTCCATTCCCGACCCGCATCCTGTAAATCAGGTGCCCGGTGAAACTTTCGTGGGGAGGGATGACCCGGTCGGTGACGAACCGGGCCCCTATGACCCTGAACACGAAACCCGGGATGCGTGGGAGGAGCGGCTTCATGCTGCCGGTTACTTTCCGCTTCCCACCTTCTACGTCCTTGACATCCCCTCCCGTGTATCCAAAATTGCCCTGAACAAAATTCGTAGGAGGCTCCCGGACGGGTATACCCTTCTATACGAACCCAACTGGCCCAATATTGTCGAACCCCACCGGGAGGACAGGATAGGGTTCCACACCATTTCCCTAGATGCGGGCATAGTTTTTCCCCTTCGCCCCCTCCTAACCGAAGTATGCCACGCGTTTGGGATTTTGCCCGGTCAAATAACTCCCAACGCCCACCGGTATCTCCATTCCTTTGTAAATATCTGTACCCATCTGAAAATCTTCCCTTCTTTACTCCTCTAGCCGGTCTGAAATGGAATGACCATCTCCTCGACCAAGAGTATGCTGCACCGGCCTCCTCCCCAGACTTGGAAGCTAACCTCGAGATCCTCATGCGCGGGGATCCTCAAACCGGGAGGATCTTCCATCAAGGCAGCTGGGTTTGGAGGGTAGAGTCGGGTGGTGAGGGTACCTCCCAGGCCCAGGAAGCAGCGGGGCGCGGGGTACCCTCCCCGGGCAACACTGCAGAGGCCGAGGGCCAGAACCACCCAGGTATTTTTCACTTTTCTTGTGTTTCGTAGTTTGACCGGGCAAACTATTTGTACTTAATGTTTTTAGTTTGTTTTGCAGATATGGAGTTTGAGGAATTCGCCATCCCTGACGATCAACCAACCGGGGAGACCGAGGGCTCCCAAGCCAATCCCGCCAGGACTTTCCCGGTCAATCCAGAGACCGTGGAAATCCTGGATGAAGATGAGCCCCAAGACAACCGGTCTAAGGGGAAGGAGAAGGAGAAGGCCGGTCGCCGGGTGAAGAAGGTGGCCACCACGCACCCTTCCTATGCCAGGAAGAGGGCAAGGTCAGACCCTGAGCCGGCCTCCCAGACCATTGAAGAGGCTTTTGTCAACCTGGGCCTGAGGCTGAAGGAGGTAAGGCCTCTTCTTATCCCGGTCGGATTAGACTTTCTTCCTTTGTAATGGTTTAACCGGGTCCTTTGTTTGTGCAGAAAGGGGAAATCGGGCCCCATGCAGTTGAACAGCTGGGGATGGGATCTCCTTCGGAGATTGCCCGGCTAAGGAAGGAAAAAGAGGAGATGAACCTGATTTTGAAGAATCAGGCAGATGAGCTGATCCGTCTGTCTAGTATGGCCGGGACAATGAAGGCGGAGATCTACCAGCTGAAGGAGGAGAACGGCCGGC